GTGATATATATGACTGTCTCCACCATCATCACTACCACCACCTCAGATTATAGGAAGACTTTAAGAAAAGCATAGATTAATATTTACCCATATTACAGCTGGCACATTTGAGAAGTGGTCTGTATTTTCCTCTCTCTGCTCTCTTGGCTACTCTATACTTTGTTCCACCGCATAGCATTAAGGATACTGATCTATAATGAAATTGCGTAAATGCTGCATCTCCTATTGGATTGCAGTTATATTTATATTCCTCAAAGCACCTAACATGGTGTGAGGCATATAATTATAATAATAATAATAACAATATATCACTTACTGAGTGCTTACATATGCCAAGCACTCTGTAAGCACTTTATAGACATTGGAACAACTCTGTGCATTATAGACATTTCTTGAATGCATGTGCTAGTCCATATGGAACAAAGCACAGTTGCTTTTCCACTGCATATGGGAACCATCCCAACAAAGAATCTGAAGTCACTGCCAGTGGTAGGATTGTGCAGCCATGGGCACGGTAGCAGCTGGGAAACAGCAGTTAACACTCGAACATATACTGAGATATATGGGGCCTTGGATTGCATTCTAGTTCTCTATTTACCAACTGGGTAACTGGAAAGTTAATCAACATGTTTACACTTTAGATTCTTCATCTGACTAAGAAATGATAATTCATCTTAGGTAGAATGAGACAATATATGAAGTACCTAAGACAGCACTGGGTTTATAGTAGGGGCTCAATAAATAGTAGCTATTCTTATTAGTATTATGTATAAAGCACAGGGCTAGGAACTGTGAAGTATAAAGACCAGAAGTAAACAGATTAGGGTGGTGGATCTTATCCTTTGACCCCAGAGGCAGAGGTCTGAATCCACATGCTCAGTTAAGGTCCCTTTTATCTCTAGACTGTGATTTTGTAATTCCAAGCTCGCACCTAGAAGCCAACAATCATATGCCCTCACCACATGGCAGCAATTCAGGTCAGGCGGTTGCTCAGAGTTACCAAAGCATGGATATTAAGGATTGGCACCTTTAAAAAGAATCACAGGTAGGGAATGGCCCAACCAGACAGCCTTGGTATCTAAACTTAGGACTTGCTGTTGCCGCTTATATTTTCATTGGAAGAAAACCTCTAATTCAGCCTGAAGCTGCTATCATTAATCATTCAAAGGTGTGGTACAATTTTGACTAGAAACTGGACTAGAGGCGCCATGCAGGTTTGGGAGCAGTTACACTCTTGTGGTTTGACTAACCTTTTTTATGAGTGTGTTACTAAAGAAACGTGAGCTTTTGGCTTTTCAATTACTGTAGCTTACCCCTTCTGAGTTTCATACACATTGAGTCATCGTGTCTACAGGTGACTGATAATCATCTGCACTACTCAAGTTACCGTAACTCAGAGATGAGGGGATCTGATGATTGCAGGTTGCGTGCACGTGAAGATCTGAGGCTCTCCCATCCTCTTAACAATGAACGATGGTCTGCCTTAACCACAGAACTCAGTCACATATTTCCACTCATCCAGGGGTTTATTTTCCTCTTAATGTTTTGCCTGTTACAACTTTAGCACTCAGCTGTTTTCTGACATATGCTGCAGGTGGTATAGGTTCTGAAATTATAGGCCTAGTTAAGTAAAGCAAACTCTTGGGAGAAAGGATAAAAGCAGAGTTTGTGATGTGCCTGCCCCACCCCGGAAACTTTCTGGAGCTTGTCTGTTAGGTGAAAAGATAAAAAGATTCTCAAGGACCCCCTGGTATTTGGGGAGTTGAGTAGAGCTGGCCACACTGGAAAATCATCAAAAACCTTGAAAAGGCCAAGAAACCAAAGTTCATCATTTCTGTGTCACTTTCAGGGGAATGAATATTTGTGACCTGAGCTGGCTTTCATGTTCTCAGCCTCATTCTTCCTCTTGATCAAAGATGTATCCAATCTGGAAGTTGAAAATAAGAACCATTGATTACTTTGGCCAAGATCTACTTTTCTGTTGCTTTTTATTGAGTTGCCAAGGCAGGGTGTTTTGCTGTGCATATTTTTTCTCTCAGGTTTTGTCTAGAATCTGTCACATTGGCTTTAAGGTAGTGGGGATGCATGACAAATCCATCTGATTAGATTAGATCTTTTAGCTGGTCTTTCTGGCTCCAGTTTCTCACTGTTCTGGTCCATCTTACACATTGCTGTTACATTAATATCCTGAAATAAATTTTGATCACAAGCCTCCTTTGCCCAAGGGTACGTAACAGTTTGCTGTTTGTTCAAATCCAAACCCTATGGTGGGTCATTCAGAATGCCCCTCATTTGGTCCTACCATGTGTTATCTTTTTTCAGTATCTCCCAAAATGTGAAAAGCAGAATGCCAGGAGGCCCACAGGGTATTTAAAAACCTTGATCCACCAGGCAAGAAAATTATTTTCTTTTTTTTTTTTTTTTTTTGATTGGCACCTGGGCTAACAACTTGCCAATCTTTTTTTTTTTTTCTGCTTTATTTCCCAAACTCCCCCGGTACATAGTTGTATATCTTAGTTGCAGGTCCTTCTAGTTGTGGGATGTGGGATGCCGCCTCAACGTGGCCTGATGAGTGGTGTCATGTCCGCTCCCAGGATCTGAACCCTGGGCCGCCGCAGCAGAGCGCGTGAACTTAACCACTCGGCCACAGAGCTGGCCCCAAGAAAATTATTTTCTTTTTAGTTCTCTTTCAATCTCCCTGATTACACCAACGAGAAAGATTTAGACTTAATTTGAAGTTAGTGGTCTTTAACTAATCTCATACTTGGTAATCTCTGTTTTTAACAAAGAGAGAGGGGATCTTCGTCTCCAAGCACTCATAGTAGAATCTGATCAAAATTTAATAAAGTGCTCTGTTTCATTGTCTTTATTTATTTTCTTTTACAAATCCACAATTATGGGAAACTTTTTTTTTCTTCTCCCCAAAGGCCCTCAGTACATAGTTGTATATGCTAGTTGTAGGTCCTTCTAGTTGTGCTCTCTTTATTTTTCATATACCTTCAATTTGTGGCAAGTGATTCTGGTTCTCTGTTTATGTTAGTGATTATAAAGTTTCCTTAAAAAGCAAATTTACTTTAGCAAAAAAAGAAAGAAAGAAAATGTGAGCTGATTCAAACAAAACAAAAACCCTACCATTTACCAAGTGCTTTCTACGTGCCAGGCACTGCTGTAAGCGCTTACTAGTGACCCTGTGAGGTAGATGCAATTATTATCCCCATTTTACATGAGGACATGGAGCCATAGACAGGTTAAATAACTTGCCCAAGATCACGCAACTAGTAACTGATGAGCCAGCATCAAATCAAGTTCTCAACCACCACACTACCCTGGTGTGTGAATATTGCAGAATGTGAAGGAAAAAGTAAAATTTGAGAAATACTTTATTTCATAGTTCTTGATATAGCTATAGCCAACTCTCTTAGTCTTCCCTGCTTGTGTCCTGTATAGTCCCACTGCTCTGCCTTCACTCATGCTTCTCCCTCAATTAGGATGTCTCTTCTACCTCTCCAAAAATCTAAATCCTACCAGTGCATCAAGACCCTCCTCAAAATTTACGTTTTCTGAGAATGCTTTCCCTTCCCCAAGTACTCCTGAATTTTTGCATTCTCTTAATATTTAAATATACAATTTGTACCTTGCCCTTATAATTCTGTTTACAGATGACATATTTAATGCCTCAAACTTGGCATTTAGAATAAAGTCAAAGGCCTCCATAGAGCATGGCAGCCCTTTCACAACTTTTGTCATTTATTTTTCTCCAATTCCATATATATAGGTCTTATTTTTCTCCCACTAGGTTGGAAACACCTCAAGAGCAGGAACTGGTTCATCCAATCCTTTTGTTTTCCTGTGTTTTTTCATTACTGAACTCTTTCCTGTATGGCAGTGACAAGTTTTAGAACCACAACATGCCTAGGAAATGTTATAGAAAAGCAGATGTGGTTCAGCAAATCTCTCCAGAGTCCAATGTCTACAGAATGAAAGAGCATCAAAAGTAACCTTAGCCTCACTTCCAGCACCTGACACATCCTCCCTGCTTTCTCTTCTCTCTACCAGCTGCTCACCACTGAGCACATCTGCCATCAGTGCAGACCCTGCTCCTGCCTTCCCTGTGGCCAGAGAGCCTCTGTTTTCTAACACACAACACCCACACGCCCTGAAGGTGGCTAAACTCTGTTTTCAAAATTTCTCAGCAGTTTGACATGAGATGTAGGAAAGGGTGACCACAAATAAATTTTTCAGTTAAGTGTGAGATAGGCCCTAATGATCATATATGTATCAATGATATATTTTTTTCAAGCAAAAGAAGAATAACACGCTTTATGAAAGGGACAAAGTTCATGATCTTTCATCAAGGGAGCTTTTCTAAAACTTTCTACATTTGAAGCTCTTTTACTTAAATCTCAGTCATTCTGGTGACTGACATGTTTGGGGAGTGTTAAGTTGGAGTTTGGGGGGCTATTTTTTCCACCTCTGTAGCTATTTAAAGAGGCTAGTCGCTGACCATCCCCACTTTTTGCAGCACTTCTGTCCCCTTGGCTCCCTAGTATTACGAGCAGAAAATAACAAGGAAAATAAGAGTTTGGGAATTGACTGCATCGTAAGAGTTCACGAACAGCAGAAGTACAGAGGCCCCCATGCTCCTGCATAGTAGTAGCTCCCTTGCCTCCTCTAAATCCCGTCCTAGTATTCTCTTGCTTCCTTTTCTCCAGGGTTCCCCTCTGACATGAGCAGTGGAAACAATCACATTATAGCCTCAACTTAATGACATCTCTGACTCTCCCTTTTGCCTGCTGGCTTAATTTATTTTGACTGGCTAAACGTGCTGTCAACCACTGTCCCCTGAGACATCAGCACCGTATGGAACCATTCTGCCTGGGCTGGTGTTCTTGAGCAGGCAACACGTCCTTCCTCATTTTTCAAGGACTCTGGAAAATAATTTTACAAACTCTCTGCCTTTGTGTTGTTCCTTTTGTAACTCTTTCTTTAACTTGTTCTAGGTGACAAGCGCCACTGCTTTGATGTCAACTATAATCCCAGCTATATGTACGAGAAGGAGAGTGAGATAATACAGACCCGAATGATGGACCAAGCCATCAATAACGCCATCAGCTATCTCGGTGCCGAAGCCCTGCGCCCCTTAGTCCAGACACCACCTGCTCCCACATCAGAGATGGTGCCAGTTATCAGCAGCATGTATCCCATAGCCCTCACCCGTGCTGAGATGCCGAATGGTGCTCCCCAAGACCTGGAAAAGAAGAGCATCCACCTGTCAGAGAAGGGCCTGCCTTCTGAAAGAGGCCTTTCCCCCAATAATAGTGGCCATGACTCCACGGACACTGACAGCAACCATGAAGAACGCCAGAATCACACTTACCAGCAAAATCACATGGTCCCTCCTCGAGTCCGCAATGGGATGCCACTTCTGAAGGAGGTCCCCCGCTCTTATGAACTCCTCAAGCCCCCACCCATCTGCCCAAGAGACTCCATCAAAGTGATCAACAAAGAAGGAGAGGTGATGGATGTGTATCGGTGTGACCACTGTCGAGTCCTCTTCCTGGATTATGTGATGTTCACTATTCACATGGGTTGCCACGGCTTTCGTGACCCTTTTGAGTGTAACATGTGTGGATATCGAAGCCATGATCGGTATGAGTTCTCGTCTCACATTGCCAGAGGAGAACACAGAGCCACACTGAAGTGAACATCTGGTCCCAGAGATGATTTGCGCCTGAGCATTGAACATCATTCTTAAAAACTGATAAATCACTCTCAAAATAAACTCAGTTCCAAGCTCCTTTCCGTACCATTTTTAGCATCCAAAGGGTCATATTCACATGGGCAACAGAGAAACGCTGAGTTCATTCAGAAATTGTTTGCAGATATGTCATGTTACTACTTTTGTGAAACTTTTGTTTTCCCATCAAGGACTTGAATTTTATATTTAAAAGCCAATGAAGTATTTAGTCATTATCTTTTGCAGCAACAGAGCAGGCCTTCCTTGGAGTTTGTTGTGAGTCAGAAGAATCCCCTGGTTGTGCTGCATGAGACATTCTTTCTGAGATTCATCAGCCATATGTGGAAAAGCCTTTTGGTCATATGCCCAGGACCACAGAGAAGAAGAGCTGACCAGCTGACCTTGCTGGGAAGCCTTGCCTTTCTGCACTTAACACAAGGCTGAAGGGTTAGGATATAATCTCCCCATTCCAAATTATAGTCTATTAATAAGGAAAAGAACAGCAATAAGATAAGCATCTGTTACCAATAACTGAAGACCCCAGTCTCCGAGCATCAGATCCATTTCTTATCACACAAACCAAAAAAGAAGAAGTCATCTGATGATACTTCTGCTTCTACCCTTTACCCTCCCATCTCCAATTAAAAGCTGCTTTGGGCTAAACCAGTCGTCTATAGGGGAAATTCTATACCAGGAGACCCAATGGTTTTAAATATAGACTATCATTGAAACTCCAGGAAGTTGTCCACTGTGGTGACGGCATCCATTTCTTGTAATCAAGACTGGCAGAACTGGGCTCTGAAGGGTGAAATGCTTCAGCACCACCACCCGGGGGAAAAAAAACCCAGCTACCTGAAGTTCTTGGTCTCTTTCATGGAGTATCGGTGTACAGACCCAAAGCAAACTCGCCAAAGATTTTTTTGACAAAAAATACCAGAAAGTCCAAAAAGTGTGACTTAGTGTCCCCTTCCCCACAGGAGAGGAATCAGGGACAGATGCCATGAGTGCTGTTTAGATCAGAGCTGAACTTCATGATGGGGTGAGGAGGGGAGCACCTCTGCGGACAGGTTCTCCTCCATCAGACAGGTTGGGGTTTTCCCCCCGGTTTTCAGTGGAGTTGCTGTGTCCCACAAAGATTCCTGAAAGTCTAATCTTGGTTCTGCAGATGTATCAGTCATCTTACCGTGAGTTATGGGACATGCTATCAAGGAAGAGCACTGTGATAACTACAAAATTAGCGCTGGAATAGGGGTCACAAAATCGGTTTGCTAATTCCATGTTTGCCACTAACTAGTTGTATGACTTTGGGCAGACCACTTAATTCTTAAGACTGTTTCCTCAACCGTAAAATAAGAGTTGAATTCAGACATTCTGTAAGGTCCCTTCCAGCTTTACATTTATGTGATTATGCAGTAACCACAGTTAACTTTTAAGCCTCTTAATGTATGGATATTAAGCAGAAGAGTATGTATATGAATTATCTGTTTCACATTTCTTTGGTGTGAAAATGGTAGCTGTTGTTAAGTTTTTCCTTTAACCACTGAGTTGTGAATGTGAAGAGGATGGTGGGGAGGAACAAAAAACAGGAAGGTATTTTGATCTTGCCCCAAAGTGTACACACAAACTGGCACCTGCAGCTGCTTGCCAAAGGCTTTTTTTTTTTTTTTTCCCCTTTTTAAGAACTTCTGTTAGGGAAAATAAATTCTGCTTCAAGGGACAACTTCATGGAGCCTATTTACAAATTAAGAGTCAGCTTTGTGAACATTTCTACCAGAGCCAAGAATCCCAAATTCCTAGCAGATTAGTGTTTTATGTATCTGCCTTGATATTTCGAAAGGGCTCACGCATTAGGTTCAAACTCAACTCGTTCATGTGCTGCCAGTAATTAAAATGTTCCACCTCAGACTGCACAAATGGCTTATCCTTCTTTGTAGCATGGCGTCTGTCTCAGGAAAAAAGATTTTGTGAAATTCCATGGCAACAGTCCCAACATGTTTGAGATTTCAGCTAAAAGACTAGCTGTATTTCAGTGTGTAGTCTTCAGTGTATCACTGTATTTCCGTAATCGTAGGCTCCAAGCCATGCCAGGTTGCTTATACCCATTGTGAAAGAGGAGCTGCTTATTATATTCTTAAAACATCACACATCCTGTTGACTCTTCAGCAGACAAAAGAAAGAGAATTTGGAAGCAAGGACTAGTAGGAAAGAAAGCTAGGGAAACCAAGCATTTCCACCAGATTAGTGGGAAAGTCTGCTGAAGAGACCATCTTTTGCACCTTAAGATAGTGAAACTAAGGACCATCCCACTAACCTGGGGACTCTTTGTAGATATGACCCTCATTTTCCCTGTGACTAATAGATTTTCTGAATGATTTCCATTCTTCTGAGGTCAGTTTTCTGAGTGGGGTGACCACTCACAAAGGCTGCACTTTCATTGTAGCATTCTGAGTCTAGGTTGAGGCATGTCAAGTCTAGAGAAAATTTTTATGTGGAAACTCCACATTCTTAAAGTTGAACCAGGTGGTATATAGTGGTTACCACCTCAAAGGTAAACACTTCTGTAGGTACTCTTTATACTAATTAACGCCCTCCTCCCCCCAACTTGCTGGGTGGGTGAAGGAGAATCTTAGCAAGATACCTAGAGAGAAGGGCGGGATCGGGATTCACATCTGACCCTCTTGGAAACTGAATTCGTGTAGCAGCTTCAGGCAGCACATTTACTTTCTCAGCCAGAGTCCCTGTGAACGTGAGCCTTGTAGGTCTTCTCTCCTTCATTTCCCACCAACCCTCTTATTAGGCAGGCCTACCACCACGTACCCAGGAGGCCACAATTGGAGAAACAACCAAACCCATGAAGAGTTCCCTTGCAGCCAAGGTGACAGAATCTGGGTGAGGGTAGAGAAGGAAGAGAACTGGCTCTCCAGGTGGTCCTTCTCACTGTTTGGAGTGTTGCGTAGGTATTTTCTACTGGCCCAGAACTAAATAGAAGTGTCTCCTCCATGACCCCCGCCACCAGGAAAAAAAAAATATTAATAAACCCACCAGTGTTTAGATTCCTTAAGTCATTCTCCCAAAAAGAGATCTGCCTTGACATAGATAAGCTAGCTAATCTTATACTATGTTACCCATTCTGAGCTTTTCCTGACAGCTTTTGACTTTGTCAGTGACAGAACTTATTACCTTTTGAATGCAGCTCTTAACATTTTGCTAGCCCGTAATCATTAGGCCCAGATATAAAATGACCCCAGATTTCTCTTGGAAAGAGAAATGTTTAAAAACACAAAATTGTACTCAGTTGAAACACTGTGTTCTTAACAAATCTCACATCAACATGAAGTTTTTCCAAACAGCCTCTGTGTCACTCTTCTTATTCTCCAACTCTGCTTTATACACCCCCTCCTTCCCTCCCCCCTCCCCGCTAAATGGGAGGTTTAGAATATTTTAAGGGAAAAAGCAGTACTTCTGATATATATCCCAGGGCAGGCAATAAGGCCGTAATGGATACGTTAAATGTTAAATTTTTTAAGTCCTAGCTTTAAAGTATATCCCACTGAGAATAGGTCTCTGGTGGAGATTTGGAAACTCCGGGGGGCCAGCCCAATGATGCAGCAGTTAAGTTCGCACATTCCACTTCAGCGGCCCGGGGTTCGCCGGTTTGGATCTCGGGTGCGGACTTGGCACCGCTTGACAAGCCATGCTGTGGCAGGCATCCCACATATAAAGTGGAGGAAGATGGGCACGGATGTTAGCTCAGGGCCAGTCTTCCTCAACAAGAAGAGGAGGATTGACAGCAGGTGTTATCTCAGGGCTAATCTTCCTCAAAAATAAAAGAGACTCCAGGACACAAGATTTGAGTCCTCAGTGATGTCCAAGTTCTTTCACAAAGACTCAGAATTAGGACTTGTGAGCTCAAGGAGAGAAAAGAAAATGGAGTGACGAAAATTTTGTCCTAGAAAATAGCATCAGGCTGTGCAGAAGAGAAGAGATCTACAGTGATATCTCATCTTTTAAAGAATCGGGAGCTGTTTTTGTGCTCAAACAGAAGTATAGTTCAGAGAATCGCTATAAGCAGAGTTCAGAAAAGCAGAATGATTTGGGATTTAAGTGCCTGTAAAGAGGACAATTTTGACCTGAAACCAAAGGTTAAACCTGAGCCATCCTAGCAATAGCACTCTGTTCTCTAAGGCCGAAAGACTGAACGGTTCTGAGAAGGATCACGAACCCAGGGCTAGGGACTGCTGCCTCTAAGGACTGTGGACTTGCAAGAGCCTAGAAGAGAGGTGTAGGCTTTACACTTTTCTGAGTTCTTAACACAAGACTGTACCTCTGTGTACCCAAGCTGTATATAGTCTGGACCCCAGCATGCCATCAATATGATAAAAAGGTCTTTGCACTTTGAAGAAGTTAGATGCAAGTTTCCTCTGACTATTACAATAGTGGACTGTCTTATACATTGATATTAAGTTGTTATTTGAAACTGGAATGTTAATGTTTTCATTAAACAATGTAAGGTCATAACAATGTCTACCTCCCAAGGATGTTGTGAGGTTTTATGTAATTTTGTCTATTGAGTAACGTTATGTTTTTTGAGGGGGGAGGGGGGAAATTATGTTGGATGGTTGCAAATTTTCCACTATATATACTGTATTTAGATTTAAAGACATGGAAAATATTCAAGACCATACTAGGACCATAAGAGTCATTCAGCTGCCAGTGGAGGCAACTGATCTCTAACACGCAGTTTCCTTCATTTTTTTTTAATGCATAAGAGTAGAGAACATGCTGAGCCTTAGAACCAATGTGAGTTAACCACATGCTACAGATACTTCACGGCTTTGCAGCCAGGGAAGTAGAATAGTTTTGCTCCCCTACTGTCCTATGAGCCCTCAACCATTAATTTCCCAAGCAACTTAGAGTTTCCTGAAATGGTCTTCACTGTCCATCTTTCCATTGACCTCCCTCTAGAAAGCCTGGAGAGCAGTCCCATGATGCCACCCACCTTCTCCCAAGCCAATTCGGTGCATCTGTGGGGCCTACTCCATACTCTGAACGTAACTGCAGCTTTGCTTACCCCTCTCCTAAAAAGACTGAGAAGAAACACTTTAACATGTTAGGAAAATGAGGCAGCCTGAAAAATGACTGATCCCATTGCCAGTGACTCATTCATACAAGGACTTTTCCAGGTTAGCAGACAAGGCCCTTTTTGGTAGGACCGCTTCTGTGAGTTCACAGAAACCAAATTACTGTGGGTTGCAAAGAATTAGCAGGTCATTTGAAAAGCAGACATCCCTTCACCCAGACTGTGGTTTTGTATGCTCAAGTTCTCAGTCTGTGAGCTTTGAAGGATCATTTTGGCTACTGGAAAAACCATAGCTTATTTTTAATTTCTGGTTGCCAAAGCCACCACACGTGTGGTCTGTGGATGACCCTTGTCTGCAGAATGATGGGGTGGGGGGAGGAGGGGAACGTGGTTTGGGGCTCAGGGTGGCCTTCCCACCAGGAGAGAGGGAGGGAGCCCTTGCCGAGCGGTTTTGACACAGCCTGTGCTCACAGCACTCTCATCTGGATTTCCCAGAAATGCCCTCCCTGCCCAGCAATGACCTTCCCTCCTGAATTCTCTGAGTTTTACCTGGAGTCCAATCATTTGGAGCACTGTAAGGTACCCTACTCATCTGTAAAGACTGTTTAAAAAGTCAGCTTCTGAAATGTAGCAATAATGAGTGCATCCTCGCGTCAAAAACAACCCTGCTGATAGTTTTCAAGGTTTCTTTATCATGTTTGATTTTTACACTGAAAAATAAAAAAAATTGGTGTGTTTAAAATTAGTCATTGTGCATGCCTATCATTTGTAGTTGCTGCTGTCAGAAGATGGAAAGATTTCATTCTGCCTCTAGGAATATTTTCTTAATTTAGCCCTCTGGCTATTTCTTAAAGTCCAAGTACCAAGATAAATGGAATTACCACCAAAATAAAGCATCTCACCTGACAGCTTCCTGAGCCTGCCATGATATCCTACTGCTGGCCCCCAGGCCCCCAAAGTTGGGTTCTGGTTCCACTGGTCCTTAGGTTGGGAGGAGGTTGGGGCCTGGACTTGACGGGATCAACACATTGAGCACAGTGTCTCCCAGTTGCAAGACACCACTCCACCTTCCCTCCCAGCAGGGATTCTTCCTAAAAGATAAGCAAGTCCTGACTTTTTCATCTCTGGGGGCTCAGAAACATCCACGTTGGGAAACTCAAGTTGCAGTTGCTGAACTCAGCCACATTTAAATGTAGTCTTTAGCTACTTGGAGGTCCACGTGTTGGGGGGGAACTCCTAGGAGAAGGGCATAGGGACCATGCAGCTTTCTCTCTGTCTTGATATCTTCTGTTCTCTCTTAGAAAATGTCAGAAAAGAGTCTGACAGGTGGTCAGGCCTTCTGCTCAACTTCATCCAAAACACCTTCCCTTTCCCCTCTTCTGTGGAAGGAGGAAGAGATTTCTGAAGTTTAGGATTAGTAAGCGTGGGGCCAGCTTTCGCTGGCTCTACGTTCAGCACCATCTCCCTCCCTTCAGCACCACCAGGCTGTTTTGAGGATCTTCAGCAGGTTCTCCAGCCTCAACACCAAGGGCAGGGAGAGAGGACCAGCACTGCAGCCTGTCTTTGTATTGTAACATTAAATACATTCAAAAATGGCCTCTTGGTAAGCTGATTTTCAGCCTTGGAGAGAATGGTATGTGGCTTTCTCCATTCCCAATCCCTTCTCAAAGCAGAAGCAGCTCAGGGAGAAAAGAGGGAGACAAGGAGACTCAGAGCCCCCTTGCCATGGAGCAGTGGAGAGCTCCGCAGCTGACTGCTGCTGGGGTTGGGGCAGAATGGACTTCCTTCCCGCCTGAGGAGGTTTCCTTTCCTAATTCTTGGGAACTAACTTCATGTTTTAGAAGGTGGTGGGCCTGGCAGTGGAAGCCACCCCACACCTGCACTCTCCTCCTCCCCCATCACTTGACACAACCAGGTCATTCACACAGGCTGTGGCGCCCAAACCTCCAGCTGCAGGCAACTGCCACCCAAGGGCAGGCAGGGGGAGAAGGACCTATCTCTCTTCCCTCACCTCCCATCCCCTAGCATCCAGAGTCTGAGGAAGAGTGGAGGTGAGAGTTCTGGGAAGGCCAGGAACGCTGAGGGATGATGGAGGCACACATGCTGCCCAGGACACAAGTTTAGCTGCAGAGCATTCCTGGTCAGACAGTTGTTTGCATAAAAGCCAAAAGCCACTGCACCTGGGGTGGGGAGGCCCTCTGGGGAGGTACTCCCTGGCTTGGGGGAGAGGGGGGAAGGAAGGTGTCATGGAAAGTCCCTGAAGGACACGGGGTGTTGAATTTGCTGCGGTTTTGTTTTTAACTCTGCTTGACCTGTGAAGTAGGCAGCTGCCTCCCTTCCCCCAAATAACAGACCTTCCCCCAGAATAACATGAACATACCCAGGGAAAGAGCACTGCAGTGGAAAGAATGGAGGTTAGAGGGTGATGTAAACTGCCCCCCTTCCCCAGGACTGAGGGGGCAGGAAGCCCCAGAACAGCCTTTTCCCATCACCTCCCCTCCCCCACCTCAGCCCCCCAGCCCCCTGGCCCAGAAGAGCTGCCTAGTCAAATAAACCACAGCCCTGGGGGCGGCTGGTAGATGGGAACTAAGGGGGCAGATGCCACCGCCTCCTCCAGGCTCATCCTTCCACCAGCTCAATCCCCATGCCACCCCCATTGGAATCACATTCTCAGCACCCCCACCTCCCTCTCACTCATAGACCCTAACTGCCCTCTCTAGGCTCCTGGGTGCGTGTGTGTTGGAGCAAAGTAGGCAGAATCAGTGAATCCAGCAAAGCTCTGAAGTCTCAATAAAGCAAATGACTCCTGATGCAGACTCCAGCTGAGTATCTGGACTCCTGGGTTCCAATCCCAGCCCTGCCTCTTTCTGAGTGACCCTGGGCACTTGGCTTTCCCTCTCTGGGCCTTGATTTTTCCCTGGAGTCAGGGATCTCTGAAGTTCTTTCCAGCCAGGACTCAGTCAGGCCTTGCGTCTAACACCAGAAACAAGAGTAGCACAGAGAAAGAAGGTCCAGTTCCGGCTTCCTTCTCTTGCCACCAAACTTAAGCGGTGGGATAGAAGTGACGGCGGCTTTTCCCAAGTGGTCACTTTCTTAACCGTTCTATGAAATCACAATTCTGGCCCAGCGGGGTGTGGCGGACAGGGAGGTGACAGTGTAATTGTGGGAGGCTCTGAATATGGGCACTGAGGCTGGGTCTGAACTCTGGGCCCCCGTCGTCTCTCAGGATCGCCTCTTAATTCTGCGTGGACCCAGACACCAGATTCCCGGGTTACCGGTGCCTGGGAGAGGAAAGCGAAGGCCGGGCGGAGTGGGGGAGGGGTGCGGTGCGAGGTGGGAGTTAAGGGGAGTGTGAGGGGAGGGGCAGCTGCACTTCTGAGAAACAACTCGGCGTCTCAGCAGCCCGCAGCCTAAACCCCCGCCTGCGGCTTCACAGCTCGCTCCTCCTGCCGCCCACGCCGCTCGGGGCCTCTCCGGGGGTCGGCAGCCCCCGCGGAGGCGGCGGCTGCTGGGGAGGAGCGGCAGCTCCGGGGACTGCGGAGTGGAACCCATGCGGGGGGTGGAAAATGGAGGAAGGCGTGGGTCGCGTGACACCCCTGGAGTAAAAACCCATCCCTCGCTTGGGGTGCCGAGCGCTGGACCTCGGCATGGCCGTGTGTCTCCCCTCCACCCCCTCCCCAGGTACTCTCCCATCACACCCGGGGTAAGATCCAGAAGTGAAACTGCTAGGGTCACTGCCCAGCGCCGCCGCTGCGCCCCGCCCCGCCCTTCCGGGCACTGCAGCCGTGCAGGATCTCCCAGCGCTCTGGAGTCTGCAGGGGAGGAAACTGGGGGAGGGGAAGGGGAAGTGCCCCGCGGGACAGTCTGCAGAGCGCGGCCTTCTCTCTTGGGGGTACCCGCTCGTAACCACGAGTGGGAACCTCGCGGCGCGGGACGACCTTAACACCGGGAGAGGAGCCTGCACTTCCCGCCACGGCCGCTGGGTGTCACTGAAGCCGCGCGGCTGAGCCGGCTCGGCGCCGTCGGAAGGCGGAGGCGTGGGTCCCGGGAGCCGCAGGACCGGAGCCCGCCGCGTCGGCGCAGGTCCTGCCTGGTCTTGGCCCCTCAATGCCCCGCGACGCTTGGATGTGGCGCTCAGACCTTCCTCCACTCGCCTGCTCCCTACAGGCCCCCACCGACTCTCAATGAAGAACAAACTAACCCCCTTGCCCCGCGACGGATGGGCTCATTGATGTGGCGCCACGCGAGCCACCTCCCGCCGGCCCGGCGATCAACGGCGCGTACTCGGCTGCCCTGTGGGGCTGGGTGCGCTGAGCCCAGCCCTCGAAGCGCGCCCCCTGGTGAAATGCGCGGGGCTTCCCGCCACAGAAGCCAAGGCGGCTCTACCGAGTCCGGCGCCCGTCCGCGACAGCAACCGCATGTAGGCCGGGTTGTTCCTGGGGAGAAGGGAGCGGAAGGGAGCGGAAGCGCGGGCGCCGGATGCAGCGGACCTTCCGCACGTGCTGCCGAGCTAGAGCAACTGCGGGATGCGTCCCTGAGTGCATCCTCACTCCTATTCCAGCTTCGCCCAACTCTTAGGTCACGTGCTACTCACCCAGACGCCCCTCCCCACCCCGCAGCACACCCCTTAGATGTGTGGGAAGGGCTGGCTCAGCTGAGAGAAGGGAACCAGAAGGTGGGAACCTCTATCGGGACTGAGAGGTGTGAGAGGGCCGTGGGTGGGCCAAAGCTGGAAGAACAGAGATATCCTGGAATCTTTTGGAAAATTGGGGTAGTGTCTGGTAGGAATGCCCACTTCTACCGTGTCCTGGGTCTAACTCAGGGTGGGGGATTGGCTAGGTAGATGCAGAGGAACGCATCCGTTGGCCTGCGGGTCTGTGGGGGTGCAGGCGGCGCACTCTGTCCCTGCATACAGCTTCCCCTCCAACTTCAATGTCACAGGGCCCAGCTCCATTACCAGTCCCCCGGGGCATCCACATGGTGGATCTAAAGGAGTGACATGGGCCTCCCAGTCTCCCTCAGACTCTCCAAAACCACCCCAAATAAACCCAACCCAAGTAAAAAACTGCTTACCGTGGAAACACAGCTCCAGCTAAACAGCCCCCAGGTGCCCAACAAAGAAAACTGCCTCTTCCTTGGGGCGGACACAGCCCTGCGGGAGGTCACTAGACGCCACAATAGCTCAGCCCACGTGGGATTGAATTTCAGGACTCATTAGGGCCTGGCAGAGCATGACCCTTCTCAGCCCGAGAGTACCCCCACTTCCCAACCCCCCTTCCTGTATGGAGATCATGGGGAACCCCTGGGGACCAGCCTCAGCCCCCAGGATCACCCAGTTCCCTGTGGCTCTAGACTTCGGTCTGCAGCATCAGCTCCCCCAGAATCCAGCTCCCTCTCTTCCCTCCTCTCCCAGCTCCCCACCCTAGCTGGACGCTCGGAGTCCTCTGTCCTGAGAGGCCACTGCCCACCTCACTCCCAAGCCCCAAAGCTGAGGTTCTGCCCACAGCACAGGACAAGAAAGCAGATGCCACAGACCTCACCACTGTGCAATTTGCACCAACCCCTGACCTCTCTGGGCCCTGTTTTCTGTCTGCTGGACCAGATCAGTGGTTCAGTAGTGGAAGCCTTTTTTCCAAATATACCATGATGCCAAAGTTCCAGATTTAAAGGCAGTGCTCCCCCCCAACCCCACCCCAAGCTGCCCCCAAGCCCTACTGGAATCCTTGGGCTCCAGGAAGCCATTAGAAAACTGCTTGTGTAGACAGTTCAGAAGAAAGGATCCTTCCAAGTGGCCTTGGGCTCCCCTGCTTGTCTTCTTTTCTCCCTCCCTCCTCAGGGTGCCTGGCACTGGGGCATGAGGAAGAAGCCAGACAGGGTCACTGACCCAATGTTGAACCCTCCAGCCTGCAGGAGGAGGCCCTCTACCCTTAACTCAGGAGGCCACGTAGATTTCACTGAACAGGATGTCTGGGGAGCAGGGAGACCATGAACTGGCCAGAGCTTTGCCTTTCTGGATGCCCCACCCAGGGCATCCTAGGGGAGGCGGGCTCCGCTAGAATCATGCTCACCTGTTCCCAGAATCCAGAAAGTTGGCACCAGCCCTCCATACCTGAGCAGGCAGGGAGGCCGACCCTGTGGCCACATCCTCCGGCGGGCCCCTGGTGCTGCTGAGGATGGCTATGCATTCTGGTGCCAGGCTCACACTAGCCCACCAGCCCCAGGAGCTGGTGTCTATGATGCACTACAGGCCATTTAGGGCCAGCCCCTAGATGTGAGCCCTGCATCACTCTCTCTCGAGGCCTGGATCCTCCTCAGCATGGGGAGATTATGGGGAATTTCCGTTTCTTTTGCAAAGTCTTTTTCTGATTTCTGAAATGATCTTTAATAAGCACAATATTTTTTATAATCGAACCCAATAACTTAATATTGAAAAGAGTATCTGAGGCGCCAGCCCCATCTCGTCCACAATGCCCCACCTTCCTCCCACCAGCCCAGATTTCCTCATGACCACAAGCCTCAACTATCCAGCACTGCATAGCCTTGGCAGTCCCTTCTGCTGTGTGGCCTCTGTAGGCCACGCTGCAGCCTTTTTAGCAGGAGAGCAGCAGCCTTCCCACATCCTCAGAGCTGAGGAAACTTGCCCTGGGTCCCTCTGGGAGCTGGCCCTGAGGGGCCCTTGTCCCCCACACTCACAGCTGCTGTCTCTCCTCCAAGAAGCCAGAGATCTCAGCTACTCAGCAAGGATGTCCAGCTGACAATTTCTAGTATCCCGCTCAGGGCTGAGCCAGCTGCCACCTCTAAGGACCCCTAGCAGCCCAGGTTCCTCATAGTGGCCAGCACTGAGAAGGGAGGGGGCAGAGAACAAAGGGCAGGGCAAGGAAGCCTGTGTTCCACCACCTTCAAGATGGACTGAGTCTGATCTCTGTCCCTAACTCCATCTCTGACCTCAGGTGGGTCACCCTCTTTTCCCAGTTTCCCACATACACAATGGGAACAATATCTGTCTCACATACTCCGATGAGCTGATTGACATAGAAGGGCTTTGTCCCCTGCCAGTCCCTCAGGCTGTGAGGGGACACTGGGTCCTGTTTTTGTGCAACGTAAATCCCTGGACATGCTTAAGAGGTGACTCACTCTGACCCCTTTACTCTCACCCCAGCATGGACTCCTAGCACCCAGACCTCAGAAGTGGCTCTGGGCATCCATGGCTAGCCACACAGCCAGTACCAGCCAGCTTGGGCCCAAGCAGCAGCCAGAGATGGGATGGTTCTGAGAACCATGGCAGGTGGCAGGCAGCAAGTTGCACTGGTCCCTTCCTTCTCAAGTCCTGCTAAAAAGAAACAAAATCTGCACCCCTCTCATGCCTGGGCTGCAGTAAATTCTTCAGGGTAAATCCCTAGCAGGCTCCGGGCTGGAGGGTGGGTGAGGCCTCTCTGCCCAGCTCTTTCTGCCAGGCCTGGCTCCCCGGGCTGAGATTAGCCATGGTCGGGGGTACCTCGGTCATGAGTGGCTACCAGGGCTGCCAAGCCTGGCCTAAGGGCTGGCTGTGGTGGCTGGTCCTTCTCAATGTCACCTCAGGATAACCCCCCTTAGCCAGGGCTGCAGAGAATGGAAGGGCTCTCCAGAGGAGGACCCTCCTACGGCCCCTTAGGAATCCCACTAGGAAGTCAGCTGGGTAGGGGGAGCAGAACAGCCCAGACCTGGTACTCAGATTAGGGTTTCAATCGTGGCTCTCCCACTGTGGTTTGGGGCAGTTCTCCTCACTGAGCCATCAGTTTCCTCGCCTACAAAACCGGATTCCACCACCTGGTGCCCAACCAATCTGAAAGATTTCAGGAGAGATTCTCTATTTAAAAAAACTTATTATGGAATTTTCAAGCTTACACAAAATAAGAGGATAACTTAATGAATGCCCATGTACCCATTACCCAGTTTTAACCAATATCAACTCATACCCAACCCATGACTATACCCACACCCTCTCCCCCAGCCTCCAGGTTATTTTTAAAACAAAGCTGAGACATCATTTCACCTATAAATACTTTAGAATGAATCTCTTAGAGGTATAGGCCTATTAGCATCAATTCTATACTTTTTCCTCATTCCTAGAAATGAACTATTTCTGGCATCTTTTAAAAAACTTTTTTAAAGACTGTTTTAAAGAAACATAACCACAGGGGATGGCCCCCTGGCTGAGTGGTTAAGTTTTCATGCTCCGCTTCGGTGGCCCGGGGTTCACCAGTTCAGATCCTGGGCGAGGACCTATGCAGAGATCAAGCCACACTGCGCTGGCATCCCACATACAAGGACTAGAATGACCTACAGCTATGTACTGGGGCTTTGGGGAGGGAAAAAAATGAGGATTGACAGGGCCAATCTTCCTAACCAAAAAACAAAAGTATACAAAAAAGAAAACCAGAAAAAAAATAACCACAATACCATTATCACACCTTAAAAGTTAACCATAATTCTCTAATATCATCAAATATCTCATCAGTTCAAATTTCCCCTAACCGCTCATAAATGTGTTTTACAGTTAGTTTGGATTTGAATCAAATAAGGTCAACATATTACATTTGGTTGATATATGTCTAAATTTCTTGAAACCTACAGATCCCCATCTTTTCTTTTCTTGTAATGTTTTGTTGTTGAAGAAGAAACTAGGTTATCTGTTCTGTAGTTTCCCAATTTGGATTTTGGTAATTGTATCCCCATGTGTCATTTCACGTGTTCCTCTGTTCCCTGTATTTCTGATAAACTAGTAGTTGGATCCAGAGGATCAGATTCAGGTTTGATTTCTTGGCAAAAATAATGGCTCGTTGGGGTTCACCTGTGTGGAGGGAGGTCTATCCCTTTGTGATTTGAAGATTGAGCAGCAGGTTCAGGTGTTGCCAATCTGATACATTTATCATAAAGCTCCCCCGGCATGTAAGAGCTAAAACTCTTTGATAAAACTCTTTAGACAAAAACAGACTGGTGTGGGCAGTGGGCAGGAGCCAGACCTTGCAGGGTCTATCCGGGCTTAAGTGGAGACACGGGGGAGCGGGCAGGTTTCTATTTTGGAAAGATCACTCTGGACGTTGAAGGGTAGGTTGGAGAGGGAGCCAAGCTCAGAGGGTTGAGTGCTGTAGGATTCCATTTGCATGGCTTTTGGGAGCGGGCAGAACTAACCGTGAGGATAGAAAGCAGATCTGGGCTTGGGGAGGACGGTGGGGGCGACAATGGGGGGGCACAGGGACTCATGGGAGGTAATGGAGCCTCCCACAATGGAGTTGTGTGACTTGGTGGTGGATGCATAAGTGTTGTGTCTGTCAGGACTCATTATTCCACCAGTTAGTCCAGCACTTGCAGAGGATCAGGATGCTGCTGACTCAGCTCTGTCCCCAGGCTTTGTCAGTAACCTCCAAAGCTTTAGGCCCTGCCAGGAGATCTCACCTGGATGGCGGTCCCTTGTCCGTTCATTCATTTAACAAGCAATGACTGGGCACCCACTTGGGCCAGGCTCCATGCCGGACACTGGAGACTCAGACGACCAAGACCACCCTTGCCCTTAAGAAACATCTAGGCTGGCTGGTACGTGGCCTCAGTCCATCTGACATGTTCCCCAAGGCCTTAACTGGTGCCCACCTCTCTTGCTCCCCTTCTCTCCTCCAGCCAGCCAGGTCGTGCCAGACAGAACTCACAGATGTACCAAAAAATAGTCTTTATTGTCACTAGTATAAAACAGAGCAGATCAACTGGCCTCTCAGTCTGTACAAAGTGTGGGGCATAAGACCACCTGGGTTGCCCCCTTTTCTCCCATAATGCCCTGTCCCAAAGCAGTGCCCAGGAGCTCCAAGACAGGGAGAGGGCCACCCCAAGTGCCTTCCCTTGAGGAGAGGGGTAGAGGGTAGACTGGGTGAGGGGTACTTTCTGCCTGAGGGAGGAATAGGAGCAAGGCGGAGCCCTCCAATTATTCACGATCCTGTCCCCACCTTCTGCACCCTCCAAGTCCACTCTATGAGTGGAGGGAGTGGTGGGCAGCCTGGAGCTGGTTAAGACATGTGCCTGCTTGTGTGGCAGTCAGAGGGCCACGCGGGTACAGCAGTGGCGCAGCAAGCACGGCAGGATGCCGCGGTTCAGCTGGTGGAACTCCACAAGCTGCAGCAGGTCAGTGAAGCGAGTCTGGCCATCATCCATGCTGAAGTAAAGGCGGCCCTCCTCCTCGCTCTGGGGTATGGCCATAAGGGGTGGAACGTCAGGGAAGGGCACGAGGCTTGAGGAGCCCCCTCCTGGGTCAGGGCTGAGGTCCCCACTGTTTGTGCAGGGAGCAAGGACAGCGGGAGATCCCAGACCCACTCAGGCCTAGGAGAGCTTCTTGAGGGGCCCTGATGAGGAGGACAGTTTCTGGGAGTCCTGTGTCTCCACTGCAGGAAGCTGGGGCTCTTACAGAAGGAAGGATTACTCACCGGCAGGATAAGATAATGTTTGACTTTCTGCAGGTGGCACAAAGAGAGGACAAAGCCCTGTGGGTTCCGCTGACTCTCTCGGACCAGGAACAGGCTACCAGGAGACAGGGCAACATTACCAGGGGACACACGGTTGCCACCTACCCAGGGTCTCTTCACCCCAGGGTGTGCTGCCCGGCCGAGCCCTGCCCCTTACCCATCTACCAGGCCCTGCTGCCCGATGAGCCGCTGGCTCTCCTCGCGGGAAATGCGTCCATGGAACCAGGGTTGGGTGCGGTGGATGGCTGGGGTAGGGAAGGCAGATGGGCAGTCACTCCAGGGAGAGGACCCTCATCCTAACCACCCCCACCGGGAATGCTCAAAGCCAAGGCAGCCCCCACCCCCAGGGACGCTGGGTCCTCTCCCACCTGCACTGAGGCTCGAGCCTGAGCATGGGGTGGGCAGGCTGAGACGGTGGTTCGTCTTCTTCTGCAGAGCAGTGGGGGACACGGGGGTCAGGGCGTGGCTGGAGTATTACCCAACCCAAGATTCTAGAACCCCTTTCTGCAGCTCCCTTCACCCCTCTCTTCCTCCCACTCCATGGAAACCCAGGACAAACATGCAGATGGGTGCTGGCCCCTCACCCTCCAGGCCTGGGCCTCCTCCAGGGCTGCGCTCAGAGCTTCCCGAGGGTTCTCGATGACACGCCCAGCATGGCCAGAGAAGTCCATGGCCACCAGGGTGTTATCCGAGACACTCCTCTGCAGACGGGATATGATGGGGGAAGGGTCAGAACAGGACCCAAGTACCTCCAGGCTGGGGCCTGAGTGCCCACCCCCAGCTAACGCCCCTGTGTACACTCACCAAGGGTGGGGAACCCACACAGGATGGACGCAGGTGGCGAGACTGTGCCTGCTGGTAATTCTTATACAGCTGCATGCCATACTGGGGGGTAGAGAGAAAAAGAAGGCCTAAGGTCAAGCAGATCCTGGGGGCTGGGCTGTGACCCCCCTAGACCAGAACTCCCCAAAAGCAGCACTGTGTCTCTGCCCCTGGATAGGGAGCTTCCCAAAGCCAGAGCTGCGGATCCTGCCTTGGACCAGGGGTTCTGGAGAGCAAGGCTGTGATGCTCCCTCATTCCAGAGACTTCCTCATTCCACATTCCTCATTCCACAGCTGTAACTCTTCTCTCAAGCCAGGGATCCGATGGGTGGGGCCAGCCCCCCAGGCCAGTCCCAGAGCCTCACCTTGAAGAGGCGGAAGGCAGCTAACCAGCAGGTGCGGCTCTGCTCATCCTCACTGCAGAAGATACGAAGCCCCTTATGGCCATTTCGAAGCTTGTTCGGCTACAGGGAGAGGAAACTGGCTGGTCCCATGTCTGCCTTTAGGACCAGATGTCTGTCTCCTGCCTCCATGGGGCAGGGCACAGTGCAGGGAGAGGAGTCTGGTGTCCCAGATGGAGCTCAGAAGCCTCAGGTAGGATCCTGGGGCCTGAGCAGCTCCCGCTCCCTCCCAGGCAGGCCAGGGTCTTCACCTTGATACAGAAGCCGAAGTCCGTGGGCATCCCATAGAATTTGCGGCCCTGGGTCACCACATACACGTTGGACTCATTCACATCTGCTACGTACTGCAGGTGCCTAGGATCCTGTGCAGCATGGGTGAGCAGCACTTGTCACAGGCAGACCCTATCCCTTTGCTACTACCACCCTAAACCAGTTGGAGAGATTTCAGGCCCAGAGAGGGGCAGAGAAGTGCCCCAGGTCACACAGCAAATAGAAGTAGGGCCAGGACTCGAACTCAGTTCACCTGCCTTTCCCACAGCTACTTCCTGGGGCAAGTAAACTGGGAGGGAAAGAGGAGCAGCTGAGGGTCACAGGGCCCAGGGGAAGAAAGGTCCAGGAGTTCCAACAGGGAAGGGGGAACTCCTAGAAGGACCGGAGATGGGGTATCCAAGGGGCTGGGGCTGTCACCCTCAAGGACTCACCTTGGAGGTGCCCTTGGTGGAGTAATAGAGGCCAGACCGGCGCAGGAAGCAGAAGAAGCGTTTCCAAAGCTTGCGTCCCGACCCCCGCAGCTGCAGGAAGCCCTGGATCTCTGGGAAGCTGCCTGCATTCAGGAAGTTCTGAGGCCAATGGAGAATAGGGTGAGAGGCCTGGAGGGGGCCTGACATTCACATTCACACACACACCCAGGCCTTCATAGGACCTGCCTTTATGACAGGAGGTGCTCTGATGCATTTATTGTCCCCATTTAACAGACAAAGAAACTGATGCTCAGCCAGGGAACGTCACTTGTCCACAGTTCCATAGGGCATAGGACTGCGCTGGGCTATATCCATCACACAGAGGGGAGGCACAAGGCTTAAGGGCCGAGAAGCAATGGGTGATCCTGAGGAATCATGACTATGTCATGAAATGACATATTCAGGTGAAACCTCACCTGGATGAGGTCTTCGTGGGATATGCCCGTATGTGCATCAAAACAGCTGGACACCATCTTTTCTGGGAACAGGGCATGCTGGGGGAGAAAGGAGTCAGGACTCAGGGATGGAGGGTCCAGGCTGGGGATCGGGGTGTCCTAGTGCCCAGACCCCCTTCACACACACTCACTGGGGAGCTCTTGAACAGTTCATACTTGGCGAAGTTTTTCCGGAAGATGAAGCGGCTATCTCCGCCAATGGGCCAGGCAGCCTGCACTTCCACCACTGATTCATGGTCCTCTAAGCCCCGCTCTGGGGTCAAGGGCAAAAAGCAGCGGTCAGTGGAGACCAGCCAGGCCTCCCAGATGAGCCACCTGCCTAGCCCAAGGTGTGAAGTATTGCCTTCCAGCCCAGGCAGCCCCAGCACCCCAACTCACCCAGTGCTAGATGTGGGTGGCACTCCACCAGCCCCCAGTTTTCATCACTTAGGGCATGAGCTCGCTGCACCAGCATTTCACAGACATAGCGAGCTGTTGCACCTGCCGCCACCTCCACCGACCGGCAGGCCCCATCTTCGCTGTATACCTTTACTACCTGCACCCAAGGAATTACAGATGACTTGAGGAAGGGCAAAGGGTGGTTCTTTCCCGTTCCCCAACCTGCTGTACTCTGAGGGACCCCTGACCAAATCCCCCCACCTCCACAGAACTAGCGTTATATCCACCCCAGTCCCGTCGCACCCCCATATCCCAGACTTCTCTTTCCCAGGACAACTCACATGAGGGCAGCTGGCGTCTCGGGGGAGCAGCCCCCTTGCACTGCAGGACCCCCCAAGAATGGGGGTCTGTGAAGGGGGACTGCAGAGCTCAGGGAAGGGGTTCGGAATGGAGGGTAGAGAGCTTGCCCGCAGCTCCTCCTCTCGAAGAAGTTTCCTATGGCCAAGTAGGGAGGAGTTGACTGCAAGCTTCTATGTATAACCCAGCGCTGACCGCCCCCCAACCCCTCCTCAGTCCCAGTACCCCATTGTACCTGCTGGTTGGAATGGGCAGAGGCTGGGACCTCTTCACCTCCCCAGGCAGGGGGGGATCAGGAGGTGGGGGGGTCCCAGGAGGGGTCCCAGGGGCCGGGTACAGGTCTTCCGGGAAGCTGCTGGGATGAGGTGGAGACAGACCCAGCTCCATGACATCTGAAGGAGAAGACGGGGCTGAACGCAGCCGCCCTTGTGCCCTTGTCCTGGGGAGAAGGGCCAAGAGGACCCAGACCTCCTGACTTCACACAGCTGTCAAGGTGCCCCTCAGAGTTTACATTGTACCTCAGTGCTCCCCCTCGAACTGGAGTTTCCCTGGAGCCTTTGGGGAAGGGCAAAGTGAGCCCATTTTACAAAAGGGGACACTGAGTCCCTGAGAAGGAAGCATTCTTGCCCCCATCACAGGTAAGCCAGGGAGTGGAACCTGGTGTTTGGACTCCAAGTCCAGTGCTCTTCCTTTAGCCCCACGTTGCCCAGGGGAAGAGCTAAGAGGATCCCCCCACCACAAGCCAGGCGGCAGCAACAAACTCCACAACCCGCAGACTGTCTGGGGCTCAGGCTCTCAGTGTCAGGGCAAAGGGCCACCCCACTCCTCTGGGCTCTGCCCCAGGTTTTTCCAGTGCTTCGTTGGCAGACCTGGTTGCCAGAGCCTGTTGTGGCAACGCTGGCCCAAGTGCTGAGTGATGCACAGAAGGGGAGAAGGAGGTGGGGAAGGACAGGAGCCAGGAGGGCAAGAGGCGGGCTCAGCTGCAGTAGGAGGGACAGGGCCAGCCTGGGGGCCCTTGCCTCAGCAGCCCCCAAACCTTGTGTGCCCTCCCCAGGTCCCTCCTCCTCCCCAACTTTATTGAAACCCCAATACCCGAGCTATCTCCTCTGAGAAGACTTCCTAGATTTTCCACATTTAGACCGAAGGGCTCCCTCTCCCCAGTGTTGCTGAGGCCACACTGCGCCTGTGCACCTGTCTTATCCACCCACCAGTCTGAAGATGCCCAGCACTACCAAGCAAGACCAGGGTCTTACCCATGTCTTATCACCCACAGGTGCTGTACAGGCACCCAGTAAGGATAGGGGAGATGGGGCAAAGATGCTGCTGAGGGTAGAGGCAGGGCAGGCCCCTCCTTCACAGGAACCAAGACAACATCCCTTTGGCTGAGCTGAGACCGGGGAGAACCTGGGTGAACCCACCAGTTCCAGCCCCCAGCTTGCTCTCTGGACACTGGGCTAGTGCTGTTAGGCTGCTTCGGGCACCCAGGATTGCCCTCCCAGGATGGGGCAGGCCTCTGACCCTTAGGTGAGGGCATAAGGGGATTTGGGGGACAGGTGAGTCAGGGTGGGGCGGGACAGCACTGCCTGGAGCTCTCCATTCAACCTTGACTCATCTGTACAACTTCCTGGCTTAGGAGAAACACAAACAACCCTACCTCTACCCATACCCGCCCCCAACCTACCCGCCTGGGAGGAATGAGGGAGGCACAGGGCAGGGAACAGGATAGGGGAGAGGGAGGAGGATGCAGGGCCTGAGGCTCCTGACATCATCTCTTCCCCACCCTTGGCCTACCTACGATTGCAACTGCTCCAGTCCAGGTGGGACCTGCAGTCTGCCCCCAGTCCTGTAGCCACCACCCAGCCCAGGAGCCCCCTCACCCAGGAAGGAGAGAAGAAAAGCCCGGCCTGGATTCAGAGGCCCATGAGGAGTGGAGCCAACCTCTCCTTGGTGCCCCTGGCTCCCGAAAGAAACGCACAGCGGTCCCTCTCCTGACCCGGCCCTACCGGGCTTTCATCCTGCTGCTGCGGCCCACCCCTAGCACCCAGGACTCAGCTGGTCTGGGAGACTCCAGCACATCACCCCTGGAGAATGAGGGTCCTGCTAACACACTTTCTTGGGTGTCCTGGCCAGAGGGGTGGAAAGTCAAAACACCCAAGAGGACAGACACAGACAGGCAGGCAGGGAAAGGCCTGGAGAGAGAGCCAGGGAGGGTGTTCAGACTCCCGCTGGGAAGGGCAAGACACACCCACCATCGGACATCAACAACAGAACAGCAACACCTAAACACAATGCCCCCACCCCCACCTCCTGTCTGACCTCTGGCAAACAGCCCAGCATTCCAGGGAGGACTAGGGGGAGGGGCTGCGGGGCTGCCCCTTCCATGAAGTCAGAGACCAACAGTGGGGCAGGGGCAAGAATCAGGGAGGGGAGAGGGAAGTAGATTTAAATCGGATTAGAGTCTTGGGTCAGAGGGCAGAAGGGCCACTGAAGACTTCGGTTTGGCCTTGAGATCCCTCCATCTTGCCCTCCAGAGCCTTCTAAGGCAAGAGAGGAGTGGCACAGTCAGGACCAGAGGTGAGATGGGAGAACTGGGTCCTAGCTGTGGGGCCTGGTCAGCCCCCGTCCCAAGAGATCTGAAGCTTTCCAACTGGGGTCCTAGGAAAGCTTCTGTTGAAACCGACCCCCGAAACCAATCTGCCCCTCAACACTGCAACTCCAAGCTGTGGCTTCCTCAACCGCCTCTCCTGCTCCGGCGGCTCCGGCCCCACCCTCCTTCCCGCCCTCCCTGTCTCCTGCCTCCTTGTTTACTTCCTGAATCTTGCCTCACCTGGCTGGCCCCTAGGGCGGGTGGCAGGGCCCAGTGTTTAGAGCCCATAGAAAACAAGGCCACCTTCGGTGCTTCCCAGGGCGGGGGGGAGGGACTGGCAGGGAGAGGCCTAGACTGGGGACCTGGAGGTGGCGGAAAGGCCCCGGTCTGGCCCGGTACTCCACACCCCGCCCCCATCGAGATTTATTGTAGTGAGGAAGGCTTAATCTCTGCGGGAGCTCTTAGGGTGCAGGGCCCTGGTGAGGAGGCGGGAAACCCCTAGGTGACCCGGAGTTGGGGGCAGCGCCCAAAAGCCTGAGGCCCCGCCCACTCCCTCACTCAGGAAAAAACACCCAAGCGGGGGGGGGGGGGGGCTGGGGGGGGCAGCTCTTTTAAAGTTTAATTTGGGAAGAATGCTGGAGTGTCTGTGGAGTTAATCATTAGAGGCTGCTTGCCTTCATGAAGGGCCCCCCTCACAGCAGGATATCGGGGAGAGAGGGGAGAGCAGAGTCCAGGACAGGCAGACCAAGAGGGGGCATTCTTGAGGGGCACTGGGATTGGGAGGCCTTCCAAGGGCAGACAGGTGCATTCTCCACCCGCAACGTGCCAGGGAGACCCAGACCCAGACCCGGGTCTTCCTCCAGCCTGTTCAAACACACAAGACCATCTGCCCAGCAACGCGCACCCAGACTCTCCCCAGGCCCCACTGCGCTGCAGACCGCCCAGCATCCAGCCCTCCAGCCTTCCAAGCCCATTTCATTCTGAACCAGGAGGGACCCCAGGGCCTACCTCGCCCGTCCGAGGGCAGGAACTTGTGTTCCTGAGCAGGATACAATCCGGAGAGACGGAGCTCTAGCAATGTACAGAATCCCTCACATTTACTGCCCTCCAAATTGGAGGGTGCACCCCCTTCCCGCGCGGAGACGTCAGTCTTTAGTAGAGACTTGGGGAAACTCAAACTGGAGTAAAATCAGATTGCGCAAGAGAGTGACTCGGTGCAGCTCCCTCGGTATTCGGACCCTGCTCCTAACTCTCTTTCTGGGAATGTGGGGAGGGGCTAGTTTCAGCGGGAAAGCTCGTCTCCTGGAGGAGAGAATCTGAGATTTTACTTCCCTAGCCCCACCAGCTAGTTTGCCCGGGGGGCTGAGGAGAGGGTTTCAGAAAGGGAAGGAAGGAATAAGGAGGACAGGAAAGGAGAACAGGGAAAGACGGAGGGAGGGGGCGAGATGGGAGACTGGAGGAAAAGAGAAAGCGAGGCCGCCAGAGTAACACAGCAGGAGGCGGAATCTTTCCATATTGACCCGCGACCTGGCGAGGCTCCCCACCCCCAAGGTGAAGCGCCCGCTTTGGTCGTTACCTGGACCCTGGGTGTTGTTACACCTGGCTGGGGCCACTGGTTTAGGGAGGGAGACGCCAGGCCCTTAACTACCTGTCCCCCTCCTGCCCCCGCCCTTGGCCTGACATCACTGAGGGGGGAAGGGGGGAAACCAGGCGGCCGCCGGTCCGCACACCTGGGCAGCCAGCCAGCTCCTAGCCCTGAGACGGGCAAAGCTGGGCCCTGGTGCGGCTGGAGGTGGGAGCAGATTGTCGTCTAGGATCGATCTCTGTCCCCTTACCTGGAGGAGCCCCAGCAGGAGTAGCAGGACACGGGGTCCGAAGTCCGGCTCTGTCTAGGAACCCTAGATACCTGGGCTTGATTTTAAATCCACTCCCTCTTCTTGTCTGCAGGTAGTAGGAGGGTGTCCTGACTTTGGACGTAGAAGTGGGAGTTGGGGGAAGGTGAGCCCTGTGTGTCCGGGCTCCTGGCCCAAGAAAACTAAAATTATCTTGGGCAGGTGGGGGCGGGGCTGGGGGAGGGGCCTGGGAGAAGGAAGCACACGAGCGGGGGCGGGGACTCCCTGACTTCGCCGGCTGGAATTGTTTTGGCCCTTCTTAGCCTGGCAGCAGGTGCCGGGGGAGAAGCGGGGAAAACAGTCGAACTTAGCCTCGAGAGCGAAGATCTAGAGTCTCAAGACCTAGGAGGGAGGGGCTAGGAGCTGGAAGGTAGGGGGAACGGCCCCGCCCACTCTTCCCATGCCCCTCCCCAAACCTGGCCAGTTTATTGGCCAAGATAGGGGGCCTGTCGGCAGCTCTGGGTCCCACCTCCTGGGGCAAAGAGCACGCTGCGAATGAAGGAAGCCAGCCAGAGGGGATGTCCAGCACATGACCTGTCCCTTGACCTCCAGCCACAGTCTAGCCACCCAGGCTGCACCCTAGCCCCTCGGAGGCACCCAGGGTCTGTCTTCCCTTCTGAGCAAAGTCCAGGCTCTCAGCTTCTCCTTTTGAAATCGAAGGGGTTAGGCAGGGTCTCATGGTGGGAGGAGTGATCTGGGGAACGCTCTAGCCAGGTGCCAAGGAACTCCCCTCAGGGCAATCATGTTAGCGCTCTCCTTTGGCACTAGGCAAACACAAGGACCTGGGAGAGGGCCTAGGAGGCTGAGATCAAAGGCAGCAGCCACCTCCCAGCCTGAAGTGGGTGACAGTTGGGTAAACAAACATCCATAGGGTGATAAGAGGTCTGCCCTGGGGGACCATCAAGGAGTGGCTCCAGCCTCAACTTTCTCCAGCTGGGTTTCCCTTGAAAAACCGGGATGAGAAATAAGCAAAGAAGTGGGGAGGGGGCAAGATCACCTGGGCCATGGAGAAGCTTGTACAAAGCACAGTAGACAATTCACTCAATCATTCATTCTACTAATATTTGTTAAGTACCTTCTACATACCAACCCCACGCTTGGTACTCGGGATACAGTGGTCAGCAACAAAAACAGACCCTGCCCTTATCTTCATGCAGCCCAGGTGGGGAGACTGATGTTAATCAAAGAATTACACAAATAAATGACAGGTGATAACTATTCTAGGAGAATGACTCACCCAGGGAGTTAGGAAAGAATTCTCTGTTGAAGTGACAATTGAGCAGAGGGGAAGCTGTCTGGGGCAGGGAGGAGGTTCGAATTGGTGGATGGGAATTGGGGCAGGAGGCACCTTTCATGATGACAGAACAAGAGCCAAAGCCCTTGGCAGGAGGGGACACAGCAGGCAGACGCAGAGTAGGGGCGGAGGAGAAGGAAGGAGAGGAGGCCACAGGTAAGCCCAAGCTGATGTGGAAGGTATGGCGAAAGACAAGTGTTTTGGACTCAGCTGTTTTTCTCAAATTGTGGCCTGTGACCACCTGCCTCCAAATGTCCCTAGGCTTATATAAGAAACAGATCCCTGGGCCTTTCTCCATCTGCTGAATCTCAGTCTCTGGAGCCAAGACCCAGGAATGTGTGGTATTGACAAGCCCTCAGGTGGTTGTTCTGTAAACTAGGTTTAAGAGCCATCCATCCTGTCTGTCCAGACTGGCAGGGCCTATGGGCAGAGGCCAGACCTGCAGGGTCTATCTGGGCTTAAGCAGAGGCACGGGGGAGCGGGCAGATTTCTATTTTGGAAAGATCACTCTGGATGTTGATAGGGACGTTGGAGAGGGAGCCAGACTCAGCGGGCTGAGTGCTGTAGGGTTGCATGTGTATGGCTTTCTGGAGGGGACAGAACTATAAGGACAGAAAGCAGATCTGAGGTTGGGGAGGAGGAGGTGGGGTTAACAGTAGAGGGGCACAGGGACTTGTGAGGAGCTGTTGTGCATCTTGGTCACGGTGGTGGATGTACAATTGAGTGTGTCAGAACTCAGAAAAAAGTTCACTCGAGAGGGTGAATTTTACTGTATATAAATTGTATATGAAGTTTTTTAAATAAAAAAAGACAACAACAAAAAAGAATAGATTTATAGATCAATGGAGCAAACTCAAGAGTCCAAGCAAAATCAAGGCCCAGGGATCTGTTTACATTTCCTTTACATTTCTGGTCAATTGATTTTTGACAAAGAGGCCAAGACAATTCAATAGGGTAAAGGATAGCCTTTTCAATAAATGGTTCTGGGGACAATTGACTATGCACATGCCAAAAGACGAATTTAAATCCTTACCTCACACAGTGTACAAAAATTAACTCAAAATAGATCATAGACTTAAATGTAAAAGTTAAAACTATAGAGGCTGGCCCAGTGGCGCAGCGGTTAAGTGTACATGTTCTGATTCTCAGCGGCCTGGGGTTTGCTGGCTCGGATCCCAGGTGTGGACATGGCACCGCTTGGCAAGCCATGCTGTGGTAGGCGTCCTACGTATAAAGTAGAGGAAAATGGGCACGGATGTGAGCACAGGGCCAGTCTTCCTCAGCAAAAAGAGGAGGATTGGCAGTAGTTGGCTCAGGGCTAATCTTCCTCAAAAAAAAAAAAAACAGTTAAAACTATAAAACTTCTAGAAGAAACTATGGGAGAAAATCTTTGTAACCTTGGGTTAGGCAGAGATCTCAGATATAACAGCAACAGCACAAGTGACAAAAGAAAAAGTTGGTAAGTCAGATTTCATTAAAATTAAGTTTTTTGCACTTTATAAAACACCATTAAGAAAATTTTTAAAAAACTTATCAAAGACTGGGAGAAAATATTTGCAAATCATATATCTGATTAGGGACTTTGTATCCAGAATATATAAAGAACTCTTATGAATCAATAAGAAAAAGACAACAACCCAATTAAAAATGGGCAAGAGATTTGAATAGATGTTTTTCCAAATAAGATACATGAGCAGCTAATAAGCACATGAAAAGGTGCTCAACATCATTAGTCATTAGAGAAATGCAAATTAAAACCACAATGATGTACTACCTCCCATCCACCAGGATGGCTATAATCAAAGAGACAAACAACAACTGTTGACAAGGTAACAGGGAAACAAACCCTCATATGTTGCTGGTGGGAATGTAAAATGGTACAATCACTTTCAAAAACAGTTTGGCAGGTTCTGCAAAAGGTTAAACATAAACTTGCCATACAACCCAGCAATTCTACTCCTAGGAATCTACCCAAGAGAGATGAAAACACACGTACATACCAAGACACTTACATGAACATTCATAGCAGCATTATTCAAAATAGCCAAAAACTGGAACCTCCAATGTCCATCAACTGGTATTGAACAGATAAAAAGGTGGTATATCCATACAATGGGATACTCTTCAGCAACAAAAAGAACAAACTACTGGTACATGCCACAGCATGGATGAACCTCAAAAACTTTTTACTGAAGAAGCCAGAAGTAAAAGACCACATATTGTATCATTCCATTTATATAAAATGTCCAGAAAAGGCAAATTTATAGACAGAAGACAGATCAGTGGTTGACTAGGACTGGAGCTGGGAGCTGGATTGACTGCAGACAGGCAGGAGGGACCTTTTCAGGTTAATAGAGATGTCCTGTAACTGGATTGTAGTGATGGTCGCACAACTTAATAAATCACTGAACTGTTTAAAAATGAATGGTTTAAAGTGGGTGACCTGTTAGTGTACCATGGTGGGACTCCAGGGAAGGAAGAGGCAGCGAGACAGTCTTCATTTCTAGAGCTGCAAAATGGGAATAATGATGCCAGCCCTGTAGTGAGGCTGGGATGAGACACGGGAGGTGCAGGAACCGGGTGCACGTGGAGGAAGCATAGAGCCTGAAGAGCGGGAGCCCGAATGCAGGGGAGAGGCAGTCTCTGCCCCAGATTGTGCCTACTGTTTCGAGTTTAAGAGTCAGAGTACTTGAGTGTGTAACTAGGGGATGGTTTAAAATGCCACCAGCATGTTAGTGACAAATAGCAACTATTCCATACCAAACCCCAGGCCCTGGGTCCGCTTGCCCCACCACTTTCTCTTCCTTTTGTAAACTGTAAAGCGCTTTGCCGTCTATGATCTTTCATTAGATTAAATAGGCCGTGAAGTCCAGCGGACACCAAGTGCGTGACAAGCCTGGCGCCCTAAGAACCCCGGCCAGGAAGATGGTATGGGTCAGACCACCCGCCACCCGGAGCCCTCCAGCTGGCGATAGAGCCAAAACGTAGCAGCAGCCGCGGCCTGCAGGGGGCGCCCGAACGTAACGCGCGCCTCCGCCCCGCCCCGGCGGCCCCGCCCCGTCACGTGTTCGCGGCGTCGCGCACACCCGGAAGCAGCGGCTGGAGTGGAGCCGGCCGCAATGAGCGGGGAGCCAGGGCTGACGTCCGTAGCGCCCCCTCCCGGGGAGATCGAACCGGGCAGTGGGGTCCGCATCGTGGTGGAGTACTGGTGAGCGGCTCCAACCGGTGGGGGTCTGGTCCGGACGGGGGTGGGTCCACAGTGGCTCCTCTCCCAAAACCCAAGCGGACCCCAGGTATCGTCTCCCTAGTGAACCCTGCGGCTTCGAGGCGACCTACCTGGAGCTGGCGAGTGCCGTGAAGGAGCAGTATCCCGGAATCGAGATCGAGTCGCGCCTGGGGGGCACAGGTGAGGCCCGCAGAACACCTGCTGAGTCAGTGTTCTAAATCCCAGCTCTACCACTTTCTAGCTCTGGGATTGGCTGTTTTATATAGTGTCCAGCAGTGTCTGGCACATAGTGAAATGTCCAGCCAACTTGAGTCCCCTTCCGTAGATGAGGGGGTCACAGATGAAGCCTGTAGAGAGAAACTGGTGAGACTACAGAAGTGTAGTGTTACGGGGGGTCGGAGGGTGGGATGCTCTTCGTCCAGTTATGAAGCCGAGTTCAAAGGAAGGACACACAGGTAAAAACTAGGTTCCTTTAGCTTGACCCTGGATTGGGAAATGGCTTAAAGAATTACGAGTCTCTAATGGAGCCGGTGGGGGACATGAAGGAGACTGTGTGAAGCCTAAGGAGTGTGGAGGGACCCCATCTGGAGGGCCTCCCCTGACTTTTGCGTGTTCTCAGCATGCACTTCATTCATTGATTTATTTCATACCAGGGGCCTTTGAGATCGAGATAAATGGACAGCTGGTGTTCTCCAAGCTGGAGAACGGGGGCTTTCCTTATGAGAAAGATGTGAGTATTTGCAATCTTGGGAGGACCCTCGCTTCACCCTGCCCCTACAATCCCCTTCCACATCTCTGCCCTCTAGCTCATTGAGGCCATCCGAAGAGCCAGTAATGGAGAACCCCTAGAAAAGATCACCAACAGCCGTCCTCCCTGCGTCATCCTGTGACTACATGTGACTACACTGGTGCCCCTTTGGGTACCAGGAGAGAACAGAAGCTTCTGTGGTCTTGGGGGTGGGAGAGAGACCCTCTCCATGGACATTTCCACAGCCACCTTATACCCCCTTCCCAGGATTAGTGCCCACAAAAGCCAACTCCCCTCTCCAGCTTAGCCATACCTGTCAGATGCCACCATAGTTCTAACTTATTTTCCACTAACCCTGGGCAATATCAGCTATTGGTAATAAAGTGACACTACAAACACCTATGCCAACTAGTGTGTTTTTATGTCCAGTCTGGGGGTGGGGGATGGGCACAGAGGGCAGCCCAGCCTTTACACCACCAGGGAGGCTGTGCTGGGTGGGTGGGCTTTTTCTGGATAGCTACTTCTAGTTTAATGATCTCCTCTCTCATAGCCAAGGCAAGGAAAATGAGTCACACAGTAGCCACTGCCTCTTCTTTCCTCTACCCCTCCCCCACTGCTCCTACCCACAGGGGGAAGTCATCCCATTCTGGTGGGTGGCCTTAGGAATTCATTTTTTGGTGAGCAAAAGTGATCTGGTTGTCAGAGATCTCTCAGATCAGAATCCCAACTCTCAGATCCCCCAACCCAAAAGCCAGGAAACTGGAAGATAAGCTCTTCAAGCTTTCTCAAGATCCCTAGGGATCCTTCCAAGAAAAGATGAGTTGAGTCTAAGTTAGGAGGTGAGCAGTAAGGGATGGCACAGAGCCACCCCTAGACATAGGCCAGTTCCCAGCTGTTTTCCAAAATATATTTGCAAATGGAGATGGTGGGTGTGGAGAAGGGACATCCCTCCCCCAATCCCAGGGGTGCCCCTTCCACAATACCCACGCTCCCCGAGCCCTTATTTCATCTTTAAAAAAAAACCAAAAAACATAAGTAAAAACAAAACAAAAAAAGCACTCTGTACAAGAACTGGATCTGGGCGCTCCTGCTGCTCCCATCTTCCTGGGGGCAGTTAGGTCTCAGGGACAGTCTCTGTGTGGGTTGCTCTTCTTACTCCCTTGGGGCCCCTTCCCTTCCTAGGCCCAGCTTCCCTAAGTCCTTCAGTGCCAAGGATCTGGAAGAAGAGACCAGACTGCTGAGCAGACTGTGTCTGTGGCATCCATTGGAACCTACAGTCTGCTGGGGCAGGGCTCCAAAATCACTCAAGACTCCCCAGTGCTGCTCCATCTTCCAACCAGGCTGGGCCCCTCTCAGCCACTTGGGAATTGGGAGTAGGCAAGAAAGTTCCTGGCATGGCAGGTTCCCCTTGAAGTGGTCCAAGGGCCCTCTCCCCGCCTGGTCCCGACATGGGCCAGAAGTCCGGCCGTCCCCACTCCCTAAGGGTTCAGCAGGGCCTCAGTGGACTTGGCTTTTGGGCTCACACTGGCACGTCCAGGCCCAGGTATTCCGGGTTCTCTGCTGTAGGGGTCCCTTCAAAGGTGCTGGGTGGAGAGCCCCGCTCTGATGGGTCCTGGTCCCAGTAATAGAGGTTGTCAAAGGCTGGGCTGAAGGCAGGAGGAGGGTGGGGCTGAGGGGCAGCTCTGCTCCGGGGTGCCAAGTACTCAGGGTTCTCCACGGCACCCCCAAAGGCAAAAACGTCTTTGACAACCCCATTCTTCCCGGGGGAGAGAGTCTTGGGCCTTTCCAAAGTGGCACCATCAGGTCGACAAGGAGACAGAGGGCCCTCTAGGGGCGAGGGGGGCTGCGGCCGAACCTCTGGCTGGTTCACGTATTCTGAAAGGGCAAGAGAAGGGGGCTTGTCAGGGGATGGAATCCACGTGTCTGGGCTACTACCACTGCCCTCATGGTGGGCTGAGCACCCCCAACTCCCCCACCTCCCAATCTCTCAGCTCAGGCTTGGGTTCCATACCAGGCTGGGGGCTGCAGGACAGGGGGGCAACATAGCCGTCAGTCTCCGGGGGCAGGGGTACTGTGGGGTCCTCGCTGTACCTCTGTAGAGGGCTGGGGTCATGTTGTGGGAGGCTCTGCAGCCCCTTGGCTGCCCCCATTCCCAAGTCACCATCAAACACATCAGAGCCAGCCCCTTCTGAAGGTGCCAGTGGAGACTTGGGGGGCTCCTCCTCCGAGGGCTCCAGCCCCAGCGTCAGCTCACCACCGCCACTCTGGGGACGAAAGAGGTCATGATGGGAGTCATTCATGGGTGTGGGATAGAGACTCCATGGGAGGTGAAAGGGTCACAGGAGATAAACAGAAGTCACCTTTGGGGTATGACAGTCACCGTGGAAAGAATGGGGTCATGGGTTGGAAGGCAATAGGAATCCTCCTTAGGGATAATGGGGTCTCCAGGAGAGGTGATGGTTGTGGGGACATTGGGCTAGGGTCCATTGGGGTTGGGAGAGGTAACCAAACACACCCAACACAGTGTGAACGAGGGCACTGACCCTGGAGGATGAGCTGCGGTGCCTGCGGTGGGCTGTGCCCCCAGCACCAGGAGCAGGGTCCGGGCAGAAGAAGCCCTGCTGGGGTACCAGGTACTCCTCAGCATCTACCAGGTCCCCCATGTCATCATCCTCCAGCAGCGAGCGGTAGAAAGTGCTGTCCAAGGGGCTGGCAGGGCCCAAGTCCTCATTCTGGGGAAGAGGGAGACAGAGCATGGCAGCCTCTCCCCAGCTCAACAGGCAGCCTCCCGAGGAAGGCTCAGGGAGGACAAGAGGGATGATGAGTCAGGTCAGGGCTGGGCTTGGAGGCCTGGGACCCAGGAGTCATCTCCTTTTCCACCCTCTGCAGGAGAGTCCTCTTAAAGTCATAGGCAGGGATGGGGAGCAAATGCCCCCGGTACCTGGATGACCACAAAGCGCTGGGGGTCCCTGGCCATGCGGGAGAATTCGGCCACCAACTCCCGGAACCTCGGCCGACATTCAGAGTCAATCATCCAACCTGGGGACAGGAGGGAGCTCAGCATCTCAGCTGTGGCTGCAGCCTGTGTGCGGGCCCCACTCCCTCCCTTTGCAGTCTGGTCTAGACAACCCCAGTTACTAGAGTCCAGAGGCCTCAGCTGGTAGAAAAGAAGTACTAGACTCGGGTCCTGAGCCAGAACTTTGAGAATCTCTACTAGTTTCCCCTTTTATTTTGCGTATGAGTCTCTTTCGAGCTGGTCCTTTAGAGCTCCTCTGGATTGGTACTGTAAAAGGGAAGCCAGAACCTTTTGAGGCTCCTTTAACCATATCAGGGCCCCTGGGTCCACATCCTACTCTTGGCCCCCTCTCAGGTCCCTTGTAGGCCCCTCCACCCAGGACTTCCCACCCCTCCTCCAGGCAGTTGGCACAGCTCAGCCACGCACATTTGACCATAATCATGTAGACATCAATGGTGCAGATGGGGGGCTGGGGCAGCCGCTCCCCCTTCTCCAGCAGGTCAGGGATCTCCCGAGCTGGGATCCCATCGTAAGGTTTGGCCCCAAAAGTCATCAGCTCCCACACAGTCACACCTGGGCAGAGAGTTAAGAGTTGGGGGGACAAGAGGGATCTTTAGTGTACTGAGCCCCCAAAGGCTCTGCCCTAGAGCCTGGAACCACGGGGAAAAGAGGGGAGGGACGCCAAGGGGCAGGAGCCACACAGTCTTTCCCCAATCCCTGGGAAGTGCACAGACCCTGGCAGACTGAGCTACTGGCAGCCCCTTCCTTCCCTCTCACATTCACGCTAAGGCGTCTCCGTTAATTCTCCCCATCCTGGCTCTCATCCTTCCACCAACATCTCCCCCAGGGCCATGGCTCCTTGTCCATCCCTTCCAACCCTCCTCACCACGCACCATAGCTCCACACATCACTCTGGTGGGTGAACCGCCGGCGGAGAATGGACTCCAACGCCATCCACTTGATGGGCACCTGGGAGAGGAGAGGAGGAAGTCCTTAAACTAGGTGTGGTGGGCAGGCGGCTGTTCTCAGAGTTTTCCCAGAAGCCAGACCCTACTCCACCTCGCCTCACTCTGCTCCCTCCTCTAACCTTGCCCCCATCCGCATGGTACTCTGTCTCGTCAATGTCCAGCAGCCGAGCCAGCCCGAAGTCTGTAATCTTGACATGGTTGGGACTCTTGACCAGCACATTCCGGGCAGCCAGGTCCCTGTGCACAAGCCGCACATCCTCCAAGTAGCTCATCCCCTGGGATCAGAGGCATCCCTGTGGACCATGCTCTGGCCACACTCTCCCAGGAAACCTCCCCATCCTAGCTCTGCCTGGAGACAGAGGCGCACCTCCAAGGGCACCTGCAGAGTCCAGACCCCCTAAGTGCATACCTTAGCAATCTGCACACACCAGTTCAGCAGGTCCTGGGAGCCCAGGCGGCCGCGGTGTTCTCGGACGTGGTCTAGGAGGCAGCCATAGGGCATAAGCTGTGTCACCAGCTGCACTGTGGATGTCAGGCAGATGCCCAAGAGGCGGGACACATATGGAGAGCCCACACCAGCCATCACATATGCTTCCTGGGGGCAAGGGTACACATTGAGAAGGTACGGGAGACCACAAACCCCCAGCACCACACACCCCTCCTAAGGGCTGAGGCAGGACGGGGGACCCTCACCCAATCTAACTGCATCCCTCATAAACCAGAACCATGGCCCACAGATTAGAGAGGTTAAGAGTTGAGGTTTGGGGAATCATAAATTGTCTCCCAGGAAAGAGAGAGAGACCAGAGTGCAGACCTGCAGCCAGGGGGTCCCTCCTACACTCCCGGCTGGAGAGGGTGGAGGGGCTTACGTCCAAGATTTCTTTGTTGGCTTTGGGGGATGTGTTTTCCCTCAACACTTTGATGGCCACTGGGATTTTCACATTTTCTCCATCAGGGATCCAGATGCCCTGGGCAGAAACAGGAGAACATGAGCAGGAAGGGGGCCGGCCAGATCCAACTTGCAGTGGTCCAGAAGGTCACTACTTGTGCTCCGAATACCCTTCCCCATCCTTAGGCCAACCCCACTATTGAGGAACAACCCTCCCACTTAGGCCCATCCTCCACTCCTTTTCCCCTTGTTCCAACCTCTGTAACTGTTCTACCAAAGAGCAGGCCCCCCCACCCCCTGCTCCCCTCCACTCTTGGCCACACCCCACCCATCCTCTGGGACCGCCCACCCCAGAACTTTGGCCCCACCCCTGACCTTGTAGACTGTGCCAAAAGCTCCGGATCCAAGCACCTTCACCTTCCTCAGCTCTGTCTCTTTCAGGATTCGCATCTGAGCCTGGTTGGGCATCGCTCCGCTAGGTGTCAGCGGCTCCACCAGCTGGGGTGAAGGGATGGTGCATCAGTGTCGG